CCGCTGTTCTGCCAGTAGCCAGATAACCGTCGGGTCGAGCCTGGACAGCCACTCGTTTTCTCAACGGGGCCTGGGGGCTCCGAAACCCCCTGCGCCGTAAATTTATTATTCTTAATTGACCTATCCATATTAATATTTAAAGTACATAGTCCGTGGATATAGCCGTAGTCGTCATCAGCCTTGCTCAAAAACCGTCCAAATATATCAAATCGTAAACCAAAAACTCGCCAAGTCATCAACGAAGCCAACATAAATGTTAATAAATAATATATAGATACTTAATAACCCTAATTACATAGTGTTAGAACTAAATAATATTATATAAAACTATAATCTTCATTTCATCAAACTGAACGCCTCTAGTTCTAATAATAGACCTAATGATGCGTGTGTAAATCGCTACACATATAAATAAATAATAAAATAATAAATAAGTGATGATGATAACAAAACTAAATAATAATAAGTAAAAGAACATACAATAATAAATAAATAAATAATCAATAATAATAAATAACTAATCAATAATAAATAATAAATAATCAGATAAGTAAGTGAATAAATAATTGAATAAATAAGTAGATAATAACTAATAATAAATAACAAAATAATAAATAATAAATAAATTAACCATTAAAAGAATGCACCTAACAGTTGCATTCTCCAACTAGTCGCCACGTGACTCAAATAAAATCTCCACGTTACGCAGCACACCATCACTATTTGTTTACAAAGGGTGTTCTGCTCGAGTAATAAAATAAATAAAATAAAATAAAATAAAATAAAATAAAATAATGTAATATCGGAAAATAAAGATAGAAATTTTTTCCCGATTACTTACAATTTATTAATATTAAATTGAATATACAAATATAAATTGGACAGAAAACGATGTTTATTTAACGGAGACTAAAAGCAATACTCGTAGCTATATCAAATAACTTTACAGTTATTTGGCCACTCTCGTCACAACGATGGACAGGAAACGATATTTATTTAACGGAAACTAAATGCAATACTCGTATCTATATCAAATAACTTTACAGTTATTTGACCACTCTTCTCTCTCTCTCTCTCTCTCTCTCTCTCTCTCTCTCTAACAACTCTACCAATTCTCTCGACTTTACTCTTCGGTGTCTAACGACTCTACTCTTCGATGACTCGATTAGCTCTGATTCTCGCAACACGCACACTTTTTGACTCGCACACTCCGATCTTTCGGTCGTTCCGCCTTTCTTCTTCTAACCGTCCTTCTTCTAACGTTGTCTATTTTTTTCCTCATACCTATCTAAGAACTACCAACTACGTGCCTTTAGTCACGTAGGCATTCTTAAATGTAAACGAACTACAGAAAGACGCCGTACACGGTTTTTCTATTTTCAACCGATTTCTAATTCAAACTACCTTACGATATTGCAATAAAATAAAATAGAATAAGATGATGTATAAATAGAACTCTGGTCGACCCGACTTCATTCCTGCATAATAGGAACTTACACCGAGTCGACCGTATATGCTCTCAAACGATGCTCGTAAGGTGGCGGCGTCACGCATCGACGCGGCGAACCACCACACATGCTCGTCGTGACCCGCTATCGCATGTGTCCTTGTTAATTGATGTGGGCTTGGGGTTAATAATTAATCGATTCACACAGATTCGATTTTCTCCATATATTTCTCCGCCTCGTGCAACACGTCTTAACACACAGAATACACTCGGTCAATTAACACGTGGTCGACTTCTAAGACAAAAGAGCGTCGTTAAAAGTCGTACCAACTTAACTTGTAGTAACTATCGATCATACCAACCTAACATTTCTCAACAGCCCTAACGTTACCCATCACGCAAATGGCGTCAATTCTACACACGTGCGCGTCTTAATAGTAAATTTATTACGAGTATTAACGCTTCACAAAATAACATGCCATCGCGAGTGTTATAATAACTCCGCAATGATTAAAGATAAACATGTGCGTGTTAGTATTTAGTGAATATTAATTAATTGATTATTTCTACAAAGCTCATTATCGCTTATGCATTTCCCGTAACGCGTAAATATCTTACATTACACGTTCCTCAGTGTGCTGTTTGTTCATAATGACAAGGAGAAATACGACAGCAAAGTCGAACGCTACCGCTAATATCCCTATATACGCTAATATCGTCGCGTCAGTTAAGGCGCGTTTCGATTCGCGGAATCTCTTTTCATATTTAGCCATCAGATATATCGCGATGAAATAAGGGAATACAGAGGTTAGGACAATTATCTAGTTTACTATTCGATGGAATTTTACTGCAAGTAATTTTTGAGTTACTTGTTTCTTGTTACTTGTTGTTGTTTATTTGTTTCGCTCTTCGTTAATATTCCAAATTCTCCTTTGTCATCGCCTTTTTAGCACTAACAATAAGCGTTGAGAGTAATCTTGATATGAACAGGATGATCAGAATTTTTACAAGCCACGCAACAAGGTTGATTTGTGTTATCCTCACTTTCTTTGGTACAGAAATCTGGGTCAATACGTTCATTTGGATCATAATTTATCGTCGAATTTAATGCTGCGGCAGTCTGTTGCAGTTAGAAACCACATGGCCTAAACGTTGGCAAGTCTTACATTGCATTTCGTCAAGTCTTACATTGCATTTCGTAAACGTTGGCAAGTCTTACATTGCATTTCGTTTGTCAAATCTAATTGCTGGTGAAAAGTCGGAGGCAAAATACTGAAAATCAGCCGAAGATCAGAAATTGAAGAAAATTTCAGGCTGGCTTTTGACACTAATCTCATCAGGCCCGGTCACATAACTGGTTTTAAAAGTTGAGAAATCAATTAATCGGAGAATATAAGAATTCACATAATGCTAGATGAACAAAAGAAATAACGATAAATGTACAATTTTAAATTAGATCCTTGAACCAGTCATTTGGTTAGCCCTGGTAAGGTTAGTGTTTATCAAATAGTTTAGTAGTCGTTGCGCGACATTTTAAATATTCATTCGTATAATAATTAGCAAAATAGCTTTCCTTCGTTGATTCCTCCGCTATAATTTATTTTCATTATTTACATTCTTCACTATACATTTCTTAATTCTCCGTATTCAAGATATTTCTAAGAATAAAAATCATTAGATCGGTCAAAACTTCAGGTACTACGTCGTGATAATAAAAATGATATAGAGAAAATATCAATGGACTTCAAATTTTCAACCGTGAAAAAATTATTCTCTTACTACATTTTGCACTTAGGAATAAATATCGTTTCTCTTTTATTATTTTTATATTAGTATTAAAAGCGAATACGCACTCAAAAAGCGCTTAAGACTTCATCTGCATACTGGGTCATTGCGGAACAGTAATTTTAAGTAATTTTTCACTTTCTCCATGCTGTTGTTTCAATCTTGCTTTGTTTAACGAAATTAAGATTATAAAGTAAGGTAACTAAGGTAATAAGTTAGACAAATGTGTCTGTGATGTTGCCAGTAAGGCTACGAATTATTGTACGATGTTTGTAAATATCTGTGTAGAGAAAGAATTGTGCTGCGCAATTCGAAAGATTCCTGCTGCGTAATTCGAAAGAATGTGCTTCGTAGAATAGGAATGTTTTTGTTGATATATACATTTCTTTATCTAGTAACGTGTAATCGTTAACTGCGTAGCTGCTTGTGCCACCGGCTCTTGTGTCCCCGCTTCCCTCGCCACTTTGGAAGTTGCTATGCGAAACTAAGGTACAAGGAGTCATTTAGTCGTCTCATTTCGTACCGATAACGTGGATAGCGTTGCGTCAGGTTTGTAACGTATTATAACCTATTGGTGGCGTCGGTTCTTTATTACTTTCATTAGTGTGTTTTTCGCATTATTCATTACTATATTTTTTAACTTCGTAACATATATTTTTTTTGATAGAGGTGACGCGCAAGTAAACTCAAGTACTTCAAAACAAGATTTCGCATGCGTTTCTGTAGTATTATTTAAGTATATTTAGTTGTGAACTTTCGAAATCTTGCAAATATTTTCAACTGTATTCTAGTGTATTAGTGGAGTGTATATCTCATATTCTAGTAACGAACATTCATAGTATAATTCTTGCAAATGCATTACATTCTTACATTGCATTCATGGTATTCGCAAACATTTATTCGATATCTAGAAATATCTTGTAATTTTAAATTAATATTTTTCATACGTAAAAGAAAAGTAGCACTATTTTCTAAATAAACGTTTGATAGAGAAAAGAAGAAAAACATCGAAACTATATTTCGCTTCTTTTCTACTCCCCATCCCATCCCACCCCACACCACCCATAAACAACTCTATTTTTAGGGAATATTTGTGACCGCGTGCAATGCGGTTTGTAGAGTCAGTGTTTGCTCCGCAAAAGTATTTTTCAATATTTTCCAATCACGGTCGTTTTGATTAAATCCAATTAAATAATCACACGCGAAAGTAGTAAAATTTTATCAAATAATTTTCTACGCGACATTAGAGCTCTTGTTCGCCGGTTATAATTTTTGCGGTCGTGGTAATGTGGTCTTATTTTATATTCTTTTGAACATTCTTTTTCGATACTAGAGTCAGTGCATCAAGAAGACAAAGCCTCTGCAGGAGCTCAAGAATGTAAGTAGTTTTACATATTGTATTTCAATTTGTTCTATTTATTATATTTTTTTTTTGAAATATTGTTAATTATACAATAAAACGATTGATAATTTAGAAAGCTGTAAATGTCCTTTTTAATTGAAATAAAGTCTTAAAATTTTAACATTAAGGTACAATAAAACTGTCTGATACGTATCAAAAATCAGTGAATGTTTTATTCTCAAACTTTTATATTAGAGTTTCAATTTATATATTTATTAGAGTTTAGTCTTTATTGTTGTTAAATTCCCATGCTTATTATTGTGTATTAATAATATTAATGATATTTTCTGTTTTGTTATAGACATATCACAGCTTGAACTTCTTTGTCTTCTTTGGGAATGCTCCAACGGTGGCTCAAAAGCCAAGAATGTAAGTAACTTTACATATCTTACTTGAATTATGTGTATTCTGCATATTTTGCTTTGAATACTATTGATTAAGAAATACAATTTGATTGAAAATTTCATAGATTAGGGTTTCCTAAGATTATTCTTCTATTAAAATAAAAAAAGTATTAAAGTCTTAATACCAAATTATAAAACAAATGACTAATATATTTAAAAAATCGTTAGATTTTCTATTTCTGGATTTTAAACTTTTATATTAGAATTTCAGTTTTTACACTTATGGATGTTTATTAGAATTTCAATCTTTATTATTACTAAAGTTACGAGTGTAATAAATTTCCATTTTTCACAATCTCCAACATTCCAAATAATCAGCGATCACTTATTGTGTTTTGTTTTGTAACAGATTTTTCATAACCTCCATTTCCACCATTGGATTTTCGACAGTTCCTGCCTGATGTTAGTCTTTGAAATGATATTTGCTGAGATAATGCAGTGTCGATGGGAACGTTTTCCGCTTCTCCGCTTCTAATGGTGAGTCGCATGCGTTTTTGTTCCCTTCTAATGGCGAGTCGCATGCATTTTTGTTCCTCCGGTCACTCAATCATGTCGTAGGATGAAAGGTCCGAATTGGCACGGGTGACTGGTTGTATTATGTAGAATTTTTTGCGAGCATAGTGACCGCGGGTATTTTTTATACCCACGAGTAGTAACATTTTTTTCATATCTTTATTTATTAGTTCAGGATAGGTCTTCTTGCACATCGCGATGATAATCATTAATTTTTTAATAATTAGTTTAAACATATAAATTTGAGAATATATTCGTGGTACTGACAAATATGTATAATAGTATTCGGTATAAATATTTGCAAAAGGCAAATATCTAGACGAATATACTTGTGTGACATAAATACACTTAATCTTAAGCAATGAATTTTAGTATAAATAAGAGGTACCGAAGGAAAAATCGGATGCCCTCCGATTTCGTTGGAATGAAAGATGCAATTTTTACTCAATGATAATGACGATACGTGCAATACACGATACATTCATTTTGTGACAATATTAATTATAATATATCACATTCTTTTGTTTGACTTCAGATACTATAAACGTAAGTAGAATTTAAAATATGAATTAAAATTCATTTCTTTTCCGTGCAAGAATGTGTGAAATTTTATGTGCAAGAAGAAACTTCGCGACAGGCAGATTTTTGAAACAAAGCAATAATTTTGAACACTGTTTCTGCATTTTTGGAAATGTGCTTTGACGAAGAGATTGCCGAAGATTATTTCTATCTTGGTAATGCATTTAGAGACAATTATTCTATTTCATCGAGTCTTAGTCTTTTTTCAATTAATGCTACATTTTTGATAATATTAAAATTTCAGTAATTTATTAAATTAATAAAGCAGAGTTATTATAATCCAAAACGAAGTAATAAAATGTAAAATCAAAGAACGTTAGTCCGTTAAATACAAATGAGACAAACTAATCATGCTTTTAGATTAGGATTTTCAGATTTAACAATTGCCGTGCCCATTGTCAGGATGTCATTCACGTGCTCAGGTGTTACTTGAATGGGAAAAAGACATTGGGCACGATGACTATAATTAATGCAAAAATTTCTCAGCTGCTGACCATGTGTTAGAGTATCGTGCACGACATATTTTCCACATTGTGTGTGTGTGTGTGTGGTTAGGCTGTGGAATTGCGTCGTTTTTCTCATTCGCTACAACTTAAGATACGAAAAATGTGGAGACGTAGCTACACGATTAAGCGTAACCACGCTGTTAATATTGCTGTAAATTACAATTATAATTCCAAGTTTACTTATATTTATTTTAACGATATAATTTCTTTAGATGTGTTTTATCACTTTTTGCGCAATGGTCACTAGCCTTCGTCAGTCGATTTCAGGAAAATGGTACGTAAATTAGAGTGTACATGTTGCGTGTTAAGCTCGGGTGTTGGAGGCATCTCGGGACGTTCTCTCTAGTGGAGGCTCTTGCGCCCTGGTGATATGTGTGAGAACCGTGGAGGTGAACCTCTGATCGGGTAGACGCGTTTTCGAGTGACCAACCTGCTTCAGGGAATTTCATTCGAATAATCGACGGTAAAGCTGACACGAATGGAACGTGTCATCGCGTCTGGCTTTGCTCGTCGATTTATTTAATTTCGCGGTTGTGATCGCGAGTAGTCTCTGGCTTTGCCCGTCGATTTATTTAATTTCGCTGTCGTGATCGCGAGTGGTTTTCGAAACGAACGTTAATATTGCTCGAGCATGCAGATGCGAACGGACAGCGATCGCTATATGATCGTTGTTCATTTATGTGCACTTGGATCAGCTTCCGCGATTTATCTTTTTATTTCATCTTTGTACTTTATTTTTTGGTTTGCTATTTAGAAAGTCTCGAGCTTAGATGTAAGTTTCAGCGGGCATTGCGCCCGAAGAAAGAAGAGGTTACGAGCCGAAGAGGCCCGGCAAACTGCCATAGAAGAAGGTAACTACCAATGACTCCCCATCCTCTGGACTATCCAGAGCACGGGAAGTCATTCTTGTTACTACTTTGTCATTATGCTCGCTTTTAGTATTTGTAGTAGTAGTAGTAGTAGTAGTTCTTTTTTTGATCGATGAAAGGGATGGACGTAACGAGTTAAAACACAAACTAACCGGACGAGAATGGGTGGAGACAGCTCGGGGAAACGCCGCGTCATTTTTCGTTAAATACTTGCCTAACGAATCTGCTGGCTCGTCCAGCTTTTGACGCCCTTGTTATTCATACTGTGAGCGAACAATTACCCCCGACTCCTCCATGATAACTGGCCGAAAATGAAAAAAAACGAGATAGCTCGAAGTCGGGAGAGGCAGCATCGAAAAACAGAATGATTAATCGTAGTGGGCTCGCGTACGTGTACTCTCGCTCCTTTTCCAGGCGTAAAACGCGAAATTCAACAATTCTGGAAAATGAAAAGCCTCCGGTTACGGGACGTGGAGATATTCTTTCTGGCACTTATACGCTTTCAAGTTATGACAATAAAAGGGCTAGTGATAATTGGCGAATAGTGGTACTGGAGATTCTGTTAGCGGCGAGACGCGGTCAATGATGTGATAGGTTTTAAAAAGATACGATGCGCGTACTTAAAATTTTCTGGGAGAACTTCTGAGGAATAGAATGTTGATAGATTTAGTAGTGGGTAATCTGATTATTGGTTTGCTCAGATTTTTGTACTAATGTTGAGAACTGTCGATCTTTGAAGCCGAAATAATGTTATAGGAACACTAAATTTATACTGAGGATTAACATTAGAGTAGTAATATATTTATTTTATGGAGGATTTCTTATATATTCATCGATACACACTTGCACGCGTCTCAGCACTTCCTTCTAGCACTTCCGACTGTTAACCGACTGAACAGTTTACATTGATCTGCTTTCGAGACACCGCCCACACACATACCTCCACGCACTGATACCCACATACAAGTATCTCTACTACGCACTTAACCCAGCCACAGACAAGTATCTCTACTACGCACTTAACCCAGTCCAGCACAGAAAATTATACAAATCTCAACACACCTCCTCAATTTTTTGTGCTGCATATTCATTTTCTTTTATAAGTCAATCAAACTATTCTTAAAAGTAATCTAAAATTTTCAAATTTGTTTCTCCCTATAGCCTTCGTTAAAATATTAGCTACATTATTTTCTGAATCTACTTTTATAATGTCAATCTCTTTATTTTCGTAACTTTCGTGCACAAAATGGAAATGAACTTCAATGTACTTAGAATTTTTTGTCAAGCTACCAAATTTTGATATCGCAATCGCTCCAGAATTATCTTCGTAAATTTTTATTGGCGTCTCGATCGTTATTTTGAAATCTTTCAACAATTTTCTGTAATATCGTGGTATAATATATTTACAAGGAATGGATGATACAGATGTTAATCGGACAGAAAAAGACGATTGTTGCTTAACCTGAACTATTCACACCAAACGTACAGAAAACAGCACAACTAAATACGACGCTCACAAAACGCAATCAACACTCTCGCGGTAACGCCACTCGCAAGCTCTGCCTCTCCGCTCGCACGCTGCTTCTCGACTCGCACGCTGCTTCTCGACTCCACGCTGGCCGTTCTAGCATTCTCTTGTCCTTTGCTAGGCCCACCGCACACGTGTTCTGCCGACGCTC